CCTGCTTCACTTGAAGTGGCAGGTTCCCATTTCACTTAAATTAGTGTAATTTTGGAGCACCTCCTCAAACTACACCAGTGTGAAGGGAGATTCTGCCCACTGGCTCCCTGCTTTTTGATCAATTTTTTAATTCTCTTTTTTTTATGGGGGAGGAGAAGGCAAATGTAAAGAGAAGGGTGGGGTTTTGTTTCTCTTTTTTTTTTTTTAAGATTAAAATAAATCAGGTGGTATCACACTGATACAAAATTGCTGCCCATTTGTATCTTTACTTGCAGCTACAAAGCACAAAGAGAATGCACCATTGAAGGAAAACAAAATAAGGTTGACTAGTTCTATTATCACTCCCAACCAAAGCCTTGAACCCTGCTTCCTTCAAGCAGCTGATGCACAGATCCGCTATGCAGCATCAATACAAACTCATTTTGTGACTTCTGAGCAAAGGGGCAAGGTTTCCTTCTAGAAGAAGGACTAAAGCAATAAAGTATGCAGCAATGCCAAAAGATCTTATTGTGCTTGTCAGGCAAGACACTAGTGTGGAAAAATCCTGCACAACAGTCAAAGACAGCTAAGGATTTAGTGGCAAGGAGGAAAAATTGTACAATTTACTGACAAGCTCACATAGTGCTCTCATAATGAATCATTCATATGCATGATCTAATTTTTCCCAGCAACGGGTGAACCAGGTCAGAATTAAATAAGAAACATTTTCACATTCTCCAAGAGACCCTTTTATCTGAAACTTATAACTATGTGTTGTTGCTTTTTAAATAATGATCCCATGTACAATCCCTGAATTTCTCCTTTCTTACTGCAGTAAGAACACTAGAGCACCAAAATGTCATGATAAAACATCTCAAAAGATTTCTCAGTTTTGCAGATCAAAAAGCATAGATAATTAGCTAAACTTTACAGTGGCTATATGAGGCAGTCTCCTTGACATTTGAAGAGCCCCTGCTCAGTAACTACTCTGAGCAAGTGGGAGGGATCAGACAGATAGGACTGGAAAGCAGAAATGTGATAATGGCTTGCAATAGCTTTGCACAAATCAGTTACGATCTTTCCATAAAACAGATGCAGTGACATTTGCTAGGTTAAGTTTACTCTAATGACTCCAGCACAAACAGCAAAACAGCTTATATAAAACACATCAGAAAGCACTGTACACTTTCACAAAACCCACTCAGTGGGTTACTGGCATTACAGATTGCACCAAAAGAAATCAAGAGTTCTGCTATACACTGCGCAAGTACAGAACAAAACTGTTTGGTTTACAAACATGACTAGACAGAAAAGCAAGTAGAAAGATGCACTCTCACATTTGTTTCACCAAAGAGCCAAAGACAGGGCAATTAAGTGGCAAAAGCAACACACAACAGGGATGGAAGCTGAACCCAGAACACCAACCGCAATCCAGTGCTTTAGTCATTAGAACACGCTCCTTCTTTGCAATCAGTTTCCATATAGTAAGTAAGAATTAAGCTGGCAGCAGCCAGGCACCATCATGCTCCAAACATAGGATTAAGTGATGTATGCAACTTGCTTAGGCAACTGACTGTCACTGGCTTGAAAGTAAACACAGCACCTTACAAATCCCAATTCCCTCCTTAGCCCAATACCACCTTCTTTGTCTGGCTTTAAATGAACATGTTAGTATTACTTCACCTCTCCATTTTTCAAATACGTAGCAGACTGAACTGTATTCAGCAACACTCCTTGTGGGCTCCAGCTGAACTTGTATCTCAGAGGATTGTCAGAGTGCTCTGGAGCTGGTAGGCCACCGCAGAAAGAGGTGTAGGACACAACCTGTCAGATTTATCCACAGGAAAGAAACAATGAAGAGAAGACAGACCAGGATGCAAACACTACAGAGCTACCCTGCAAAATCCCCATTAGTTCTTCAACTTTCGGTTGATGTTATCCCCCAAATGGGCCAGATCAGAAGATCTACAGTGGACAGGGGAAAGCCAAAGAATTTCACTGAGCAACAGTGTCAAGCTGTCACATTGCAGGCACTGTCCATAAAGGAGAGGAAACCAAAACATACACCGGGGCAAAGCCATCTTAGTTGATGGTCTCACCAACTGGATTAGCTGGTACCAAATTCCAAGCATCAGAAAAAGTAAGGTGTCCAGAGTCCCATTACACATCAGTGATATGCCCAAACACTGGGTGGTGTTTAAGGAACAACTTTACTAAAAAAATCTTGGCAGAACTACGTACTACCTGCCAACCTTACCGTAGCACCAACGTCTTTTGCCTTGTCAATACATTCCATCGCCAACATATGGTCAAGTCCAGGATCCAAACCCATTTCGCTGATAACTGTAATACCAGCAGCTTCTACGCTAAAAAGAACAGAAATGCAGAGCTGTCAGAATATTCACTGTTAGTGGCCTTTTATTCAGGAAATCTGTCCAACAAAGGCCTTCGAAAGTGAACTTTCCCCAACACAGTAAATTCTGGGCTCTGTCTGCAGCTTGTGGAAAAAAACAGAAGCAGATGTTAAAACCTGAACAGTGACAATTGTCTAAGAGTCATTCTAGCTTTGGTTTCTCTTACTTTGCTGCAACACCTAGGGGCTGGTGGAAAAAGAAATTCCTACTAGCTACTCCATATCCCACATTCTCCTGGACAGTGCTATATTGCAGGAAGATGGTAATGCAGAGGACAGCACAGAGCTAGTCATAATTGCCCTAAACAGCTCCTGTGGAGGAAGAGAAGTTGAAAGGCCTACTTTCCCAAATTACAAGCATTTGGGTTTTCTTTTTTTAACAGTTGCCTACGCATCCGGAGCAGCTCACTTATCACCACAACCTGAGGTGATTTTTTTTATTTTCAAAATCACTTTGTGTTTAGACAAATGAGAAGTGAGGGGTTTTTTAGGGCTTTTTTTTTTTTTGAGGACATGGTATGACCTCTTGGCATCACAGCAAGAAAGGGAGAAGAGGCCCACCAATCTGAGACTAATTAATATAGTGGGCCTGTCCAAAAGAAGGTGGCACAAAGGAGGATATTACTGTCGATACAGTAAGCCAAGAATGAATTCTTATTAGGGGAATGAGAAGGGTTACAAACAAGCTTTCTGTCACTGGTAGAACAGGACAGCCCAGCTGCTCAGCTTGAATATCAGCCCAACTCAAACATCCAAAGAGATTTGAGGGGAGAGGGGAAGGCACATTAACATGGAGTAAGATGGGGCATGCAGAAAAAGTACATTCCAGTGTTTAGAGCACTAGTCTCACCAGACTGGGGTATGCACTCATTTCTCTGCTCTGCCACAGCCTTCACATGCAACTTTGAAGAAAGGTACTTAGACCTCCGATATAGAAAGGGAAGGAGAAAGAATGCAGAAAACAGTAATTCACAATAAGCGCTGCAGGTTTAACGGACTGCAAAATATTCAGATAATGCGCTAAGGGAGGAAGCAACACCAGGGAGTTGCTACTCTCACACCTACCTCTCCTGGAGTTCTTTCATAGCTGGTGTTAAGTAGCTGGCTGTTACCAAGTTCACTTTGTTGTCAATACATTTCTTAGCAACCAAAGGATGTGCTGAATAAGGCAGCAAACTACAAATGAAGGAGAATTATGCAACATCAAAATTCAAACAGTTACTTATGCTGTCACTGGAAAGACACTCACAAATGTTTTTTGTATGCCTACAAAAGGGCTCAAGTAAATGCAACAGCCATACCTGCCTTGCCCTGAGCAGTTTCATATCTCCAGAAGTGAAATGCTACCCTACCAGAAGAGCATTGTTGTATGCACTCAGAACAGGGCATAGGACAACAGGGGAGTCATTCTTTAGACAGCATCTTCTGTCACACTTCTCTTTGTATAAAACAAACCACTGACCTCTTTTCAAGGCCACCTTCTAAACAGGCATGCTGGAGGTTTAGAAGATGCAAAACTGTAAAACCATCCTTGAGAAAGCTTGCATTACAATGATCTTGCTGAAGTACTTTGTGAAAAGCATGCTCTACACGGAAAGGAAACAACATTCAGGACATCCGTAGCAAAAGGGACAAAACGGCAAGGACTATGAAGTCATTTCCTCCCCTGTTTCAATACCTGGAAAGAGATCTTTCTTAATGGGATATTCAAGAGAAATGACCAAGATGTCAGAATTTTGCCTCCTCTTGCAAACATGCAACTTTGATCCCAGGAATACATACGCTGGTGGACGCAACTGGCCCCTTAAACTAAGAAGGCTGTCCACGTAATTGGTGAATGCTTCTAAAGAGACGCTGCAGTCAAAGCCCCTTTGGAAGTCCTGATGGCCCGCTACATGGGAAGGCAGTGGCCAGTTACAACTATTTACATACACAAATATGACCCCAGTTCTTGGGCATTAAACAAAAAGTTACCATGTTGATTTAGGTCAGTGAACCTAGGAGAAAGAAGCAGCATGACTTAGGGTTGAGCCTATCATGTTTTACACAGAATTCTCACCTGATCACAAGGTCGTGTTTCTTCACCAAAGAGGACAGCTTTTCCTCGTTCTTAATGACATCCATATGAACTGAAGTAACATTGCTGTATTTTTTCGTCAGTTGTTCAAGTTGCTCCTTCATGACAGATGCTGTTGTAAAACACATCAACTGTTACCTAAAGATGAAGGTAAGTCCAAAGCGCTCCCATGTATAATTGTGCTTTACACACACATCCTTCTTCCCAAAGAGAAACAGTTGCATGGATGTTTTCCTTCACTAACAGTTGAAGAGAAATCAGGCATAAAGCACCTTACTTCCCCAAAAGCAGTCAATTTTATTATCAATTGCCAGTGTCAAGTCATAGCAGCTACAACCCAGAACAAGAATCTACAAAGAATACTTACTCTCAGAAGCAAAGAACCACTCACTGCTAAATTGTGCAAGGAGAACAGACTTGTAACCAATTAGCAACTTTGTGGGTGTACTTAAAATTAACAGAAGTTTTAACTGCAGTTTTCCTATCAGCAGGCTAGGTCAACCCAAATTATTTATGCAAAACTAGAAGTCGTCTCCCTTCTTTTCCACTCTATGAAGAAGTAGGTCTAGAACATAAGATAAAGGACTGTTACACCTATCTTTGTGCAGTAGGACACCCCAGAAACCACTGGCTCGCTTGCATCATGTGCACGTGTCCTCCTGGCATAGTCTTCTACAGCAGCACTGTCTACATTTGCCAGGTGTCCTGGTTTCAGCTGGGATAGAGTTAATTTTCTTCTTGGTAGCCGGTATGGGGCTGTGTTTTGGGTTTAGGATGAGAACAATGTGGATGATACACTGATGTTTTGGTTCTCTCTAAGTAGTGCTAAGCTGTTGCTAAATAGGGGCTAAGTGGCGCTCACACTGGCCAAGGACTGCTTCCCATGCCATGCTCTGCCGGGTGCACAAGAAGCTGGGAGGGGGCACAGCCAGGACAGCTGACCCAGGCTGGCCAAAGGGCTATTCCATACCATATGACATCATGCTCAGTATATAAGCTGGGGGAAGAAGAAGGAAGGGATGGGGACATTCGGCGTGATGGCGTTTGTCTTCCCAAGTAACCATTATGCGTGATGATGCCCTGCTTTCCTGAGGATGGCTGAACACCTGCCTGCCCATGGGAAGCAGTGAATTAATTCCTTGGTTTGCTTTGTTTGCGTGCACGGTTTTTGCTTTGCCTATTTAACTGCTCTATTTTATCTTACTTCAATTATTAAACTGTTCTTATCTCAACCCATGAGTTTTCTCCCTTTTACCCTTCTGATTCTCTCCCCCATCCCACCAGTGGGGAGTGAGCGAGCGGCTGCATGGTGCTTAGTTGCCGGCTGGCATTAAACCACGACACCAGGTAACTGAGTACCCACATGGTGGAAAAACAGATAAGCTAAACAGAAAGAAGCACATATTCACACCTAAGTGGTTTTTTTGGGGGGCGGGGGGAAGTCTGCTGAATGAATGCATCTCTTATGCAGAAATGTGTCACAAAAGTGTCATTAACTAGTTACAAAAACCCAACTTTTCCATTATAGGCTAGGCAGGGTTGTGATCCACCCCAAAAGCATACTCCCATATCTTTGACTCCTTATAAAAGCCTGTGGCAAGGTATATTCTAGGTTTTAAAAAACATACATACTGGAGGTTCAGTCTTTGATACCTCAGATGAACACCTGCCACTCTTTGGTAAGTGTCGAAATGTACTGAAAAAGACATTACAAAGTTTTCAAAGAACAAGTGACCAAACCACTGATGGAAGGATAAAAGCTGATTCTTTTGGAATCCTTAGAAAAGCACTGTTATCTTGGATCTAGAAGCCGATCAACTAAAGAAAGTATTTGAGGGTGAAGTATGCAAATAACAGTCACACAAGAGGATGTGTACGTTCAGGCTCAAGAAAAGTTTCAGAGAAAGATCACAAGAAAGCGGCAAGAGCTGTAGTAAACGCTTCTATTGATATAGGAGAAGGTGGCTCATCTGAACTAGAACAATAATCCTACCACATGAGGTCTGGGAAAAGTAAAATAAAGATGACCAGCAGAAAAATATAACAACAGCTCTACTATGCCCAGTCAAAAGTACCACTAGCCCGTTCCGGCAGACTAGTATTTTTTTTTGGAGAAAGAGTACTAGTGGAAAAATTGTTAGGGGTAGGGAGTCAAAAGGATCAGACAAATGAAAAACTTTAAAAAGGAGAGAAAGTGAACCAAAGTCACAGTAATGAGTAGGAACTCAAGGACATCCCACATACAGCACTATGAAACCAAGCAGCAATTTTGCTTTTCCTTATTTATTTGGTGGACAATCACACAACAGACTTGATTTTCATGCTTTGATTTGGGGGGGGACATCACCCCTTGGGTCTATCAGTCCTTACTTGAATGTGTCATCCAGTGATCTGCTTGGCAGAACAAGGTGTAGGAGAAAACTAGAATGCCAGAAACTCGCATCATGGTCCTAGATGTATTAAATACAATTGGCATTCATGATCTCATCAATTTGCTGGAGAAGCACTGCACAACTAGAAAGGTACAGGAAAAAAATAGAAAATAATTGCCTACCCCAAAAAGTGCCTTCCCTTGCAGGTTTACAACCTCATGTGAAACAAAACAATTAAACAGCATTGAAACAGGCAGAGGTTTTACTCTTGCTTTAACTTTCACACAGAAATACATTAAAGGCATGCCTCGTGCTTCCCAATTTAAGGAAATATTGTATTGCGCTGACCCTTGAGGGAAGATTGCAAAGGAAAAATTGTATGCCCAATGTGTTTTAAAGGTAAACTGGTTTTGGATTAGCATCATCCTGCT